TCTTCAAAAGATATCCGGCCCCATTGCAAAAGCTCTCCCCGTAACGCCTTCTGGAATCCTGGAACATAATTTTTCACCTGTTTTTCCTTTCTTTTGTTTTTGTTTTTTTAAAAAAAAACATCTCAAACTTCGAACAGGTTAGATCTTGGGAAACAATGAGCTGAGGTGGGACACTCGCTTGTCCAGCTCACCTGCCCTCCTCTTTTTTTCCCCCTCTCCATGTGCCATATGGCGAGAAAGATCGCTGTGTGTGCCTGCGTGTTACTTCATGGGAGCTGGTGGGAGAGTTGCAAGCTGTCTGTGACTTCCCTCCCCCCCCCAAAAGGGTGTGAAAAAACACAAAAACAGACCAACGGCGTCCTGGCGGAGGACCGTGTCCTCCCTTTTGGGGCTGTGTGTCTTGTCGACAACACGCCCCACCGAAGACTCCGTGTGTAAAATGGGTCTCGCTCTTCCTAGGCTGAAATACCCGACCTCGGAATTCCTGGCTGTAAATAAACTATTTTTTGTTTTGTTTTTTAATTTATCAAAGGTTAGGTTTAAAGTTGGCCTGTGCGCAGAGGCTCTCCCTCGGCCAGTATCCAATGTTCGACATGACGCACAGCCTCTTAACCCCGGGATTGGGGCTTCGGACCCGGAGGTAGGGCTGTGGCTGTGTATGACCCCGAGATTTCCCAATTCTTCTTTCGGCACCTTGCCGGGATTCGCTGGCCGTCACCCTGCTCAGAAGCCTTACAAGGAGCATATTCACAAGCCAAAATGTCACTGGATTTTGAGTTTTGGGGGGACCCTGTGTTTTCCTTCTGTCGCACTGAGATGTCGGGGTGGCAGCAGTAAAGGGCAGAATAGAAGACCTCTCTCCCCCCTCTTTCCAAATCTCCAGGGTCCATAGCTGGAACAGCCCATCCTATAGGATATCACCGTTGGGACACTGTTAGGAGAGGCCTGTTAATTGCCTTGGGGATGAGGTTTTCGCGGGTGTTTGTATGTAGGTCTTTGGTTATTCGGGTTTTCTCCCGCGTCAAATTGGAAGTGTCTTGGTGACGTTTCGACGAAGTCCCATTTGTCATCTTCAGGCTGGTGTTTTCGGCTTCTTGCTTCTAGAAGCATGAAGCCGAAAACACCAGCCTGAAGAAGACGAATGGGACTTCGTTGAGGCATTTTTGTGTTCGTCGGGGGCAGGATGAGACCCCGGGTGCCGGAGCATCAAACGATAGCACGGGACCCTGGATTCTCTCTCCTTCGCTGATGAGAAAAGACTTCCAGATGGGCGCCGGCCAGATTTCCCCGCGGTGGATACCGTGGTGCCTGTGAGAAACTGGGAAAGGCAGCATAGGCGCGCCTAGATTTGAACTAGGACAGCTCCTCCGGGGACTTGGCCCTTTTGCTTTCTTGTTTTGATCTTTGAATTTCGCAAGAAGGGATTCATCTTGGGCTTCCCAGGAGTCGAGGGTGCTGGGTGCGAGGCGATAAGGATTTGGAGGATCACCAGGGGGAGCGGTATCCATCAAAAAGCTAACCCAAGACCGGAAATATTTGGTTGAGGGAGTGATGTAAACCAGTGTTTCTTTGATTCCTTCTCCTTTAAAAATGCGTGGACTTCAACTCCCAGAATGCCAGGCAGGAAGTGCATTCTGGGAGTTGAAGTCCACACATCTTAAAGGGGAAGGAATTGAGAAGCATGCATCTAAACTTTCTTCCCGGTGCTTATCCTGGCCTTGCTGCCCAAAACCTGCAGATTGTAACGTCTGTGTTGTAAATTACCTCATCTGTATACGTTGTATCAGAACACTTTTAAAAAAAATTTCTCAGCACTTCCTGGGGATATTATGTTTTTCCCCCTCTTCTCAGGAGGGGGGGGGAGCTGGCATTGTGTGAGATGGCAGGAAAAGGATAAAAAAAGAAAAAGTAACGGCAGTATAAATAGTCCTATTTGCAAATTTGATTTTTTTTTAAAGATCTTGTTTGAAGTGATCTTTTTTATTATTATTATTTTGTTGAAATTTAGATTGGTTTTTTTTTTTTCCTTCTCTTTCTCTGGATTGACCTGAACAGAATTGTAGTGTCATTGTTGAAACTAACCCTTAATTGTGCTGAGAAGTTGTGCCATGGAGGTCTTTAATTTTTTTAAAAATAAAATAATTGAAACAAAAGCCTGGCGGGTTCATACTCTTAAATAAAAGCAGCAGTGGGATAGATTTTAACTTTGGGGCCAGGGGACTTCAAACTCGGCCTTTTTATGATTTGTGGACTTTAACTTCCAGAATTCCTCAGCCAGCGTGCCTGGCGGAGAAATTCTGGGAGTTGAAGTCCACGAGTCATAAAAAGGCCGAGTTTGAAGACCCCTGTCTCAAATCTAACAAAATGGAGGATGGCTGAGGAATTCTGGAAGTTGAAGTCCACGAGTCATAAAAGGGTCGAGTTTGAAGACCCCTGTCTTAAATCTAACAAAATGGAGGATGGCTGAGGAATTCTGGGAGTTGAAGTCCACGAGTCACAAAAGTTTGAAGAACTCTGTTCTAGGCCTTTAAAACTGGTTTTTGATGTCTTTCCTTGCTGGTTGATGAGTCGGGTACTTTTACTTAACTACTACACATTTGGGAAAAGATAATACAGGAAGTCCTCAAGTTACAACAGTTCATTTATGATCGTTCAAAGTTATAACGGCACTGAAAAAAAAAGTACTTATGGCTGTTTTTCCTCACGACCATGGCAGCGTCCCCTGTGGTCACGTGATCAAAATTCAGATGCTTGGCAACTGACTCGTATTTATGACAGTTGCAGTGTCTCGGGATTGTGTGATTCCCTTTTGCGACTGAGATCAGCAAAGTCCATGAGGATTCACTTAACCATGTAACTGATTTAACAACTGCAATGATTCATTTAACCGCTGTGGCAGGAAAGGATGTAAAATCGGGTAAAACACATTTAAGAATTCCCAAAGGTGCTTTTTCAGGAGGCAATTGGACTGTCTTGTTTTTCCTTTGAAGATGTTTCGCTTCTCGACCCAGAAGCTTCTTCAGCTCTGACTGGATGGTGGAGGATGGAAGGATTTATACTTGCTGCTCATTTGCATTGTTTTAGATCAGTGGTTCTCAACCTTTCTAATGCTGCGACCCCATAATACAGTTCCCCATGTTGTGGTGACCCCCAACCACTTATACATCACCGGGTGCCAGGGGCGTGGCCAAAGAAAAGGAAAAATATGGCGGACAGCCTTGTTTGGTGACCCCCGTGAAATGGTCGTTCGACCCCAAATGGGGTCCCGACCCACAGGTTGAGAACCACTGTTTTAGATGGTCGTTGGGGCCATCTGGAGGTTTATCTGTCCTTAGGACCACCTGAGCGGTACAAATGGGTGTGGAGCCTTCTTGTAACTGCTTTAAGGACTGTTGTAGAAGAATGACACAGATAAACCTCCAGGTGGCCTCAATGACTAAAATAATGCAAATGACCAGCCCTGGGTCCCTTCACTGAGTCTGTTGTCTGCATCTCAAACTGGAGCGCAAATGCTTCCTGTAGTCTGCAGTGTTTTCTGGAAATCAGTTTCAGAATGGTGCGGGAGTGTGAACGGATTTCCAGAAAACATTGCAGACTGCAGGAACCCTTTGCGCTCCAGTTGGAGATGCAGACAACACAGATTCATCCCCATCATCCTGTGCCCGTCTTCAGTTATGAAGGGACCCAGGGCAGAAAACATTTGCAGCCAAGAAGCTCCACACCCATTTGCACCACTCAGGTGACCCTGAGGACACAGGTAAACCTCCAAACGGCCTCAAGGACTAAAAGGAGGCAAATGACTGGCTGTCTGCAAGGAGTATGAATCCTTCCATTCCCCACCATCCGGTCAGAACCTGAAGAAGCTTCTGGGATGAGAAGCGAAACATCTTCAAAGGAAAAACAGTTCAGTTGCTTCCTGAAAAAGCACCTTTGGGATAACTATCATTCATTCAGCACTATCATGCTGTACTTAACCATCTTTTGTTTAGGACCGTTCCATCACCAGAAAGTGTGACCCGTGCCTGGTTTTCACAGGACTGTCACAGCATCCTCATGATCAGAATATGGGTGCTTGGCAACTGGCATGTATTTATGACTGTCGCACTGTCACACGGTCAACTTTTGTAACCTTCCCAGCCAGCTTCCGACAAGCAGATTCAACGGGGGAAGCCAGATTCGTTTTAACAATCGCTTGATTCTGTATTTTTCTCCTTGTCTGTATTTGCAGTGATTCGCTTCACAACTTTGGCCAAAAAAAGGTGGTAAAATGAGTCACGACTCACTTAACGACCGTTGCTCAGCAATGGAAATTTTGGGCTCCATTGCAGTCGTAAGTTGAGGACTACACATATTTTGCCATAACTTTAATAAACAAAATTCATTATGTTTTCTGCATTTTGAAATGCACTTTTCTACCCATTTGGAGTCAAGAAATGTGTCCAGTGCCGTTTTCCTTTCATGGATGGAAAATCAAATTATGTTCCATCAAGAGCTCCTTCTCTGGAAAAGACCATAGAGATAACGAAAATAGAAGATTCGCAAGTATCTTCCCCATATTGATTAATATTGAGGCAACTTGTCATCCTCAGCAGAGCAGAATCTCTTTCAGGTGAGAGAACAAGAGAGAAAAGGAGAATTCCGCTTTTACGACCCCCCTCCTGCCTTTTTTTCCCCCAGGAAACAAGCGTAAGTCGTCGTAAAACGAAGGCTATCGTGCCTTTAACCAAGATGGCGTCCAAGGTATTTCCGGCCGCTTCCCCTTCATCGACCAAGTGAGAAACCGAAAGTTTGACGGGGGCGGAAATGACGTCATGAGAGCTTCGGGCTCTTTTGATCACGAAATAGAGCATGGCCCGCGGAGCAGCATACCTTTTCTCGGGCAGTCTGAAACCGAAGGCTACCTCGTGCCTTCAACAAAGATGGCGTCCAAGGCATTTCCGGCCGCTTCTCCTTTCATCGGCCAAGTGAGAAAGCGAAGCGATTCCCGCCGGTGGCGGAGGAGGAAATGACGTCACGAACGCTTCCGCCTCTTCCGAACACCAGGAGAACGTGGCCGGCGGAGCAGCATGGTGACCGAGGGAGGTGAAGAGCCCGGCGGAGGAGCGAAGGGCGAAGCTTTAAAGCTATATTGTCCGCGGGAACAGGCAGAGGAAGGCCCGGTAAGGGCAGGGCTGCCGGTTGGGTCGGGGTCGCCTCCGCGGCAGGGTCTCTGGGTCTCTCACGCCGGGGGTGGGGGTGGGGGGGTGGACTTCATCTCCCAGAATTTCTTGCCGTTGACCCTAATGGAGGGCCAGGATGGGGGATGAAGCCTGCGGGCAATTCGGCCTAGGCCAGGGGTCCTCAATCATGGCAACTTGAAGACTCGTGGACTTCAACTCCCAGAATTCCTCAGCCAGCATGGGGGAACTATGGCCCCCTCATGACTCGTGGACTTCAATTCCCAGAATTCCTCAGCCAGCATGGGGGAACTATGGCCCCCTCATGACTCGTGGACTTCAATTCCCAGAATTCCTCAGCCAGCATGGGGGAACTATGGCCCCCTCATGACTCGGGGACTTCAATTCCCAGAATTCCTCAGCCAGCATGGGGGAACTATGGCCCCCTCATGACTCGGGGACTTCAACTCCCCGAATTCCTGAGCCAGCGTGGGAGAACTATGGCCCCCTCACGACTCCTGGACTTCAACTCCCAGAATTCCTGAGCCAGCCTGGCTCAGCTTGGAAACCTCTCCTTTTCCCCTCAGCATGGCTGGCTCAGGAATTCTGGGAGTTGAAGTCCACCAGTCATAAAAGAGCCAAGGCTGCCTACCCCTGGCCAAATGTCTGAATTATGCTCTCAATAGGCAAGTTCTCATCACAGGAGGAAGGAGAGCAAGAGGAAGCCCTAGACCAGGGGTCTTCAAACTTGGCCCTTTTATGACTTGTGAACTTCAACTCTCAGAATTCCTCAGCCAGTGTGCCTGGCTGAGGAATTCTGAGAGTTGAAGTCCACAAGTCTTCATGTGGCCAAGTTTGAAGGCCCCTGGCCTACGAAACGGGCCGCCTCGCACTGGCTTCTCAGTCTTGGTCAAGGCACGCTGGGTGAGGAATTCTGGGAGTTGAAGTCCACAAGTCATAAAAGGGCCAAGTTTGAAGGCCCCTGTTTCAAAGCATCGATGCTGTGATTTGAATTCAGAGATTTGGAGACAGCTGTCCTGTCCCTCTCAACCTTCTCTCTCTGTGTGTGTGTGAGAGAGAGAGAGGGAGAAAGAGAGAGGGAAATATAATAGATATTTATAAATTATAATTTACATTTAATTTATAAATATAAACTATATAGGAATTTATAATAGATAAACACAGAGATAGATAAATAGAGAGAGATAGAAACATAGATACAGACCGAGGGGGAGAGAGAAAAAATATTAGAATGTGCAGAAATGGACAGACTTTCTATGAGGTTGAAAGAAAAAGAAGAAACAGAATACTATCAGACTTGGGGCTTGTTTATCAATGGCTAGAGAAAATAATAAAGGATTAGGAATTAAACTTATACTAGTAAATGATAAACTCAGACAACACATTGTTGAATAAATGCTATTGAATTGTATGAAAAAAGTAATAAAAATTTTACCAAAAATTATATAATAATATAATTAATAATAATTAATTATTATTATTATTAATAGGGTTAATAGAATAGAATAGCACAGTTGGAAGGTCTTCTAGTCCAACCCCCTGCTCAAGCAGGAAACCCTACACCATTTCAGGCAAATGGCTGTCCAATCTCTTCTTAAAAACTTCCAGTGTTGGAGCATTCACCGCTTCTGGAGGCAGGTTGTTCCACGGGTTAATTGTTCTAACTGTCAGGAAGTTTCTCCTTAGTTCTGTAAGTTCTATAAATAAGAGACACAGAGATAGGCAGACAGATGGAGGCATAGATATATATAGAGAGACATAGATTGAGGATAACCCTAATCCTGCCCACAGCGTTTCTGCCACAGAATTGTTGAAAAGTACGTTTTCTTCACATAGGATACTAATTTTTAAATGCTTATCTTCTAACGTTTTAAAGTGAGAGACCAGAGCAAGTTCCTGACCAGGCGTTGTCTCCAGAGCTGTTTGGGGCAGAGACTAAAGATGAAGAGAACACAATGATATGGGACCAATGCAGAGAGGTAAGGCAACTATAATGAGGGGATTTTACTCACTGTTTCTTTAGCTGTGAGTAAATTTGTTCTGGGGGAAGTCTCTGCAGTTGTGTCAAATTCATTGCCCATCTTTTTGTGGTGGGCATTGGTCCAAACAGCTGCCAAAATAATAATCTGTAGTGCATGGGCCTCGGAATTCCTTGTGGTTCTGGGGATAGTTTTTCTACAGACACTTGTATTCCCTCCCCCCCCCCTTCTGTTCCTCTGCATGTCTGGCACCATACAGACAAGGAAAAAAGTACTGACTTATCGCGACTTTTTCCCCATTGCTGGCAAGGGATGGGTGCGGTTTCACTGTGATGCATCCAGCTTGCGGGCCGGCAGTTTGACATGCCTGAGTTAGAAGCTAACCAGCTTGTTTAATGTGAGATGAATGATGCAATGTTAGGAATGACTCAGCAGGGTCTGTGTCTTTTTAAGAGCAAGCAGGGCCTGTATCCCTTTAAGAGGCTGAATATAAAAGGGAAGGCCTTTTGACAAAAGAAGGGACAAGCATCAGTTAAGGGAAGAATGCTTCCTTACCTTTTCCCTACTGTCTTTTTCTCTAAAGGAAACTGAATTTTTCCTTTTTTTTTTTTGTAGAAGATTTTGGATTGAGATCGTGGACATCGTGCTCACCACACAGCTAGATGACTCCCTTTTAATCTTTGCACAGGTGAGTCGCAAGGAAACAAAGCTTTGCTTTGGAATAATCTCCTGCATTATTATAACATTCAGGGGTCAGTTTTGATGTTTGATCCAATGGAATTGGATACATCTAGTTTAATGAAGAGAAGGACGAGGGGTGACATGATAGCAGTGTTCCAATATCTCAGGGGCTGCCCCAGAGAAGAGGGAGTCAATCTATTCTCCAAAGCGCCAGAAGGCTGGACAAGAAGAAACTAATCCAGGAGAGAAGCAACCTAGAAATAAGGGGGGATTTCCCAACAATGAGAACAATTAACCAGTGGAACGACTTGCCACCAGAAGTTGTGAATGCTCCAACACTGGAAGTTTTTAAGAAGGGACTGGTATAGGGTTTCCTGAGCAGGGGGTTGGAGTAGATGACCTCCAAGGTCTCTTCCAAGTTTTTATTATTATTGTGGAACTGTTGAAACATCTCATTCGCCATAATTCAGAAATTGTTCCTGAGAATGCTCTTTCTAATGCCTGGAACAAGGGAAGCTAATATGTTGCTAGATAATCAGAACTAGGCGACTGTAAATTCTAGTTCTGACGTGGGCAGAAAGCCAGCTGGGTAGTTTTGGCCCGTCCCTCTGGGTCCTAGGAAGAAGGCAGTGCAAACCACTTCTGAAAATCTGGCCTAGAAAACTGCAGGGGTTTTTCTAAGCAGTTATCAGGAGTTGAGACTAACTTGAGAACATGTACAGATACATTTGTTAAATGAGTTTTGCCACATTTTTTTCCTTTTTTTAAAGAAATGTTTTACTGATTTTTTACAATAACAATGCCTGGAGTACAGCGTGTTGTCTTGGTTCATATATTTTGAAAAAAAAAAAACAACAATAGTTAATTAACAGCCAATCATAATTAATTTTTGTAATTCCATAATCAGTATATTAATAGTGTATTTCTTTGATCTTCCCTTCTCCCAATAATATTTTCCTTCCACCCTAAACAAATATTCTTAATATTTTCAATGCATAAATGGTTCAGTGTAGACATTTTTTCCATGTTTGTACAAATAATAACATCCACGTATGACGTTTTTTCTTAACTTGTGTTATTTTTCTAAAAGTCACCTTATTAGTTCACCATATATTCTATTCTCATAGTTCTTAAGCTTAATTTCCCCTTAATATTCAAACAATTCTTATCAGTTATAATTTGCTCAACATTAACCAACTGAATAGCCAGATTTTCCATTTGGATGCACCATTGCAATGTTTTCATAATTCACATTTTTTATCATGCATGAAATATGAAACCATTTCTTTCCTTTCTCGCCACACTTGTTAAGTGACACGGTTGTAGAGTTAAATCGGGCTTCCCCCATTGATTTTGGCGTAAAGTCGCAAAAGGGGATCATCGCAACCGTCGTAAAAAATATGACTCACTTGCCAAGCCTCTGAATTTTGATCATGTGACCCGGGGGGGGGGGATGCTGCAACGGTCATAAATGTGAAAAACGGTCGTAAGTCGCCTTTTTTACAGGGCTGTTTTAACTTCAAGTGGCCACTGAGTGAACTGTTGTAAGCTAATGAGTCCATTTCCCATGTATTTCAGAATCTGGAGTTCTAATCTCTTAAGCTCCAGCTTCTAGGTCAGACATGTCAAACACAAGGCCGGGGGCCAGATGCGACCTGCGAAGTGGTTTCATGTGGCCCGCGAAGCCATCCTGGAAACAGTGAGGGAATGGCTCCTGCTGCCTTGGCCCAGGCCCAGGCCGGCCGGGAGCCAATGTACAATTTTGTGGCGGCCATCTATGCTGAAACGCTTTCAGTCTTAGCTCCACAAGGCCGTCTAGAAACAGCGAGGAACCGGCCCCTGCCGTGTCGGCCCACCCCTGGGTGCATGCTGGGGAGGGGTCCCCCTTTGTGAGGAATGAAGAAATGGACCATGCCTTGGCACTTGCCCTGATTCCACCCCCTTCTGCCAGAGACCCTCAGATCTGTCCTACTCCTGCCCAGCACTCCACAGACACTCTTGACGCGAACGATGTAGAGCTGGCCACACCCACCCAGCAGGCCACGCCCACCCCATCCACGCCCGCCCAGTAGGCTGCACCCCCCCTGACCCCCCCGAGGGCAACCGCAATGCTGATGCGGCTCTCAATGAAATCGGGTTTCATTGTCAGCTGAAGTCAGCTCTGCTCTCTTTTCTGCTGGGGATGATCCCTCCCAGTGCAGCCATGTCAAATTCGGTCCTTGCCTGCTCTGTGGTGGGAACCGGCCCTGCGGCTGCCACATTAATGCTGTAGTTCATGGGCCCCGGGTTAATGTTGTTGGACCCGGGGATAAAAATATGCTACAGACATTATTATAAAGCGCCAGGCCTTCTGATGGAGTCAGGGATATATGAATAGAATATAAAATGGAATAATAGAATAGGCAGACAATAGAATAATAGAATAAAGCAGACAGATTGGAGAGTAGAATAGAATAATGGGATAGAATCGTATATAGAACAGAATATAGAAGAATAGAATAGAAGAATAAAGTAAAATAGACAGATTGTAGAATAGGATAATGGAATAAAATAGTATATTGAATTGAATATAGAAGAATAGAATAGACATTCTAGAATAGAATAATAGAATAGAACAGACAGATTGTAGAATAGAACAGAATAATAGAATATATTGTAGAATAGAATGTAGAATAGAATAATAGAATAGAACAGACAGATTGTAGAGTAGAACAGAATAATAGAATATATTGTAGAATAGAATGTAGAATAGAATAATAGAATAGACAGGTTGTAGAATAGAATAACAGAAGAGTTGGCAGGAACCTTGGAGGAACATCTGGCTGGCTGTGTGATGATGATGAATGATGGTAATAATAATAATAATAGAATTGGAAGGGACCTTGGAGGTCATCTAGTCCAATCCCCTGCTCAGGCAGGAAACCCCATCCCATTTCAGACAAATGCTTGTCCAGTCTTGTCTTAAAACTTCCAGTGTTGAGCATTCACAGCTTCTGGAGGCAGGTTATTCCACTGATTATCTAGTCCAACCCCTCCAAGCAGGAGACCCCCCTACGCCATTTCTGACAGATGTACTGTGTCTGGACGGATGCGCTTGGCAGTGCCTCCCACTTCCAACCCCCCCCCCCCAAAGCCAGGCCAGAAGAATAATCCTCCTCAAAAGCCACTGAGGAATTAGGAGAGCCAGAACACTCCTGTCACTTCATCTTTTTTTAAAAAAAATTATGCATTAGACTAGCCCAAGATTAATAGCACGGGTCGTCCTCCACTTACGACCACAATTGAGCCCAAAGATGTTGCTAAGCAAAACATTTAAGTGAGTTTCTGCCCCATGTTAAGACCTTTCTCACCACATTTGCCAAGTGAACCACTACAGTTGTTAAATGAGTAACATGGTTATGGAGTGGAATCTGGCTTTCCCCATTGGCTTTGCTTCTCAGAAGGTCATAAAAGGGGATCACGTGATCCTGGGGACACTGCCGTCATAAATGTGAGTCAGTTGCCAGTTGTCTGGATTTTGATCACGTGACCGTGGAGGATGCCGCATTGGTCGTAAGTGTGAAGAACGGTCATAAGTCCTTTTTTCCAGTGATGTAACTTTGAACGGTCACTGAATGAAACAGTTATAAATTGAGGACTGCCTGTGATTCTTTTTTTTTTTTAAAAAAGTAAACATTTTAAGATGGATTCATTTAATTTTGGAATCTCTCAAGTTGATTTCATTCATTTGTAAATGATATGCATAGTTGTAAAAAGAAACATCGTGCATTTTTTGTTTTTTAAAAAATAACAATTGTTAATTGATTCCCTGGCAGATCTTCTCTCATCCAGAATGTCTGGAACCGTTGTTAAGTCGAACTTTCAGTCTTGGGAAGACGGGGCAAAATGTCTCGCAACGCAGCATCCACACGCCTTTATTTTGAAAAGACCCATGAAGAAAAAAAAGAGTCCTATTTTGTTCAGGAAAAGGCCCAAATAAAGACCAAGCATGGATTGTTGCCGTGAGCCTATTGGGGGAAAAAAACAGTGGATCATTTTGATTTATTTGGTAATGAAGCTGGTAGACTCTCTTTTAATTGCTTCCTCTCCTGATGAAATTATATATATAATTCCTAACTGACGAGGAAACTAGCCTTCTACAATGGGGCCTTAACCTGATGGATGCGCAACCCATTGACTTCATCGCAGCTGTAGAACCCGCGATACAATGCATAATCACCAGCGACGAGGTAAGAAACTCCCTAAGACAGCGAGTCACAGGACTGCTCATGGGCCATCAACGACATCACATTCTACCAACAAGGGAGAGAAAGGCCTTGGAGGAGCTACGGAAGGGCAATTCTATCGTACTCCTACCGGCTGATAAGGGCAGAGCCACGGTCGTTAAGGACAGGGCCACATATAATAGCAAGGCCCGATCCCTACTCGATGATACTCGCGCATATAGAGTGGTCAAAACAGACCCCACAACGTCCATAAAGAACCAACTTAATAAGATCATAGATAAGCTTAAAGGACGGGGGAGAGTTAGTGAAGAAGACTTGAGAGTTATAGGACCAAGGGACTCGGCAATGGTGAGATACATAAGGACGGGATCCCTTTAAGACCCATCGTGGCATTCAAGGGCATGCCAACATTTGGCTTGGCCAAATGGCTAAGCCAACGGTTGCAGCATTTGGTGGAGGGAAGCACGACTACAGTGAAACCGTCACAGGAGTTCCTGCAAAGACTCAAGGCAGTGAGAATACGGGATGACAAGACCATGATTTCATTTGATGTGACATCACTATTTACATCCATCCCACAAGGGCTAGCTGTCTCAACAATAAAAGAATTACTACAGCTAGAGGGATCACAAAACCATGGCCCCTTTAAGACACGATGTCATCCAACGGCTGCGGCTATACCTGAGAACACACTTCACATTACAGGGCACGATGTATGAACAAATTAAGAGCACGCCAATGGGGTCCCCCATCTCTGGTGTCATCGCTGAGGCGGTCCTACAGTGTCTGGAATCCAAAGTGATGTCCAATTACTGCCCTGAATTTTGGGCTAGATAGGACACATTCACTATCATCAAACGGACAGACAAGGCTGCCTTTATAGAGAGATTAAATGCAGTGTTCCCTGACATTCAGTTTACAGCGGAGAAGGCGGCCTTCCTAGACTTACTAGTCAGTCGCCAAACCAATGGTGCCCTCCACACAACTGTATACCGAAAGGCGACCCATTAGACAACGGGTCATGGGGCTATTGATGGGCCATAAGCGCTGTCAAATATTGTCCAGAGAGGAAAGGGAAGCCTCAGAACAACTGAGGAAGGACAATACCATCGTCATCCTACCAGCGGATAATGGGAGGGCGATGGTGATTATGGATAGAGCATAATATATGGATAAAGCCCTGACGTTGCTCAGTGATACGACAGCGTACAAAGTCATCAATAGAGACCCCATGACCGCACTTAAAAACTGTTATCAATAAACTCCTTAACAACTTCAAATGCTATGGGAAGGTGGACGAAGACACCCTAAGGAGAATACGTCTGGGGGATTCGGCTATGGCCAGATTCTACGGCCTACCAAAAGTCCACAAAGAAGGAGTCCCCCTTTTCCCCATCGTTTCATTCAAAGGCACACCAACCTCTGAGTTAGCCAAATGGCTGAGTGGCCAGATCAGTCATTTGGTAGATAAAGAGACTACAGTAAGATCGGCAAAGGAGTTTCTTGAGAAAAATCAGACCTCTAAGGGTGGAGGAAGATGAAGTGATGGTGTCATTTGACGTCACCTCACTCTTCACCTCCAGCTCACAAGATCTAGCGATCACAGTATTGAAGGATTGCCTTAATGAAGAGGGACAAAGACAGCACCAAGACTCCCTCCATACCGACGATTTGGTAAAATTGATAACATGCCTAAAAACATACTTTACTTTTCAAGGAACCATATACAAACAGATCGAAGGGACGCCAATGGGGTCACCTATTTTGAGCATAGTAGCGGAGGCGGTCCTGCAACGGCTTGAGACCGTAGTAATGACCAAGTAGCAACCTAAAGTAATGACCAAATAGCAACCTAAATTTGATGACACATTTGTGGTCATTAAGAGAAGAGACGTGATAGGGCCAGCTTCGTGGACACACTGAATTTGGTATACCCAAATATCCATTTTACAGCAGAGGAGGAGAATCAGGGTTCCCTGGCCTTTTTGGATGTGCTGGTTAATCGCCAACCTGATGGGACCTTACAGATAAGGGTATACCATAAACCAACTCATACCAACAGAACCCTCCACTATAAAAGCAATCATCCAGTGGCCTGCAAAGCAAGTTACGTCAGAACATTATTCAAACGCATAGACTCACATTGTAATACAGCCAGGGCAAAAACCGAGGAAAGAAACCATCTTTACCGGACTTGTAAAGTATAATGGTTATCCAATTGAATTTATTAGGCGTCACAGCAGACCACATAGACCCCATGAAGACTTACAATCCAACAGGATAACAACACAACCCATACGTATCTCCCTCCTGTATATCAACTACGTATCCGAGGCAACAGCTAGACTATTGGCTCCCTTCAATGTAAAAGTGTCCCCCAAACCGGATCAGACCTTACGCGCCAGAGTCATGCACCCCAAAGACCCGCTCCCCAACGAAGAAAGATCTTTGATAGTGTATAAGATCAAATGCAAGGATTGCCCCTGCAACTATGTTGGGGAGACTTCCAAGAGGTTAAAATCCAGGGTGCATGAGCACGCACTGGCTGTCAAAAGACACGAACAACATTCGCAGGTGTGGACCCACATGGCCAATTTTGGCCACAGGTTCGATCTTGCCAATGCACAAACTATATCTAGAGATATCATCAAGGGAGGCCGCCTACTCAAGGAGGCCTGGCTTTCCACCGGGAACTCCATAAACCGCCACATACCAAATGCTGAAAACATGGGAAAGACAACATCACAATTCCCAACGAAGGCAACTTATCCAGTGAACGTACCTAATACACCTCTCTCCCTCCTATTTTCCCCATCACAACAACCCTGAGAGGTGGTTTGGACTGAGAGACAATGCCTAGGCTAAAGTGACCCAGGTGGCTTTTGTGCCTAAGGCAGGATTAGAACTCAGAGTCTCCTGCTGATTGGCCCAAAGTCACCCAGCTGGCTTTAATGCCTAAGGCGGGACTAGAATTCACCTCCTGCTGATTGGCCCAAAGTCACCCAGTAGCTTTAATGCCTAAGGCGGGACTAGAATTCACCTCCTGCTGATTGACCCAAAGTCAACTATCCTTACTTTTTTTTCAGTGTCACAAAATTCATGACTGACTTTCATTTTTTTTCTTGACTATGATTAATAAACCTTAATTCTAAGGCTGGTACTTTCCTCTTTATTTCCTCTTAAATCTCAAAATCTAATTTATGAAAGCATGAAGCATGCTCGTTTCCACCAGTGTGTTTGAGTTTGAGGAATCACTGCAGGATCCGAGATGTACTTTTTTTTTTAAAGCTCAACAAAATGTAGTAGATAAAATAACAACATTCCCACCCTATCTGATCTGAATAAACTGATAGCAGAAGTTATTTTAAGTCACGTCAACCAACAGCCCCAGAAAGAATGTTTCTAAACAATTTTTGAGGAACTGAAACTGCCTGTTTTCAAAAATTATCTATTACTCAAGCAACGGGGAAAAAAACATGACTATTTAGAGAACAAACAATGTAGTTAAAAGTTGTCTTCCATTTTCCTCAGTGAAATAAATGACACTTTAAAAGGCTTAATGCTATCGTACCCACAAGGTAGTTGCTGATGGCACCTCTGCCATTTTATTTTATTTATTTCTTGCATTTTTAAACCGCAAAATTGGGCCTGGTCTCTAGAAAAAAAAAATGGAAGAAAATGCAATTTAATGTTGGGAGCTAAGAATTTCAGTATGGGAGAATGGTTTTTAGGCTGTTCGTCAAAGATCAAACTGACTCATGCAGCATCCCTCATGGTTTTCAAGACCAGAAATAGCCCTGCCTCTTGATTCTGACAGGAATCCAAAATGGCTTTTGATCCGTGTTCCTCAACCTCGGCAGCTATAAAATAGGTGGATTTCATTTCCCAGAATTCCCCAGCCAGTTAAGGTAGGATGGCTAGGGAATTCTGGGAGTTGAAGTTCACAAGTCTTAAAAGTTGCCAAAGTTGGACACCCCCCCCCCGCTTCATCCAGTGGACTTTCTTGTTTTTTCCTTGAAAACTTCGCTTCCCATCCTAGAAGCTTCTTCAGCTCTGACTGGAATTTATACTCCTTTCACACAGATGGTCATTTGCATTCTTTTAGAGAGTCATTGAGGCCACCTGGAGGTTTATCTGTGTCCTCAGGGTCACCTGAGTGGTGCAAATGGGTGTGGAGCCTTCTTGGAACTGCTGAATGGACTGTTGTAGAAGGACGACAAAGATAAACCTCCAGGTGGCTTCAATGACTCTAAAAGAATGCAAATGACCAGCTCTGGGTCCCTTCACGGACTCTGTTGTCTGCATCTCAAACGAGCGCAAAGGGTTCCTGTAGTCTGCAATGTTATTCTGGAAATCCATTTCAGAACAGTGCGGAAGCATGAACAGATTTCTAGAAAACATTGCAAACTACAAGAACCTTTTTGTGCTCCAGTTGGAGATGCAGACAACACAGACTCATCCCCATCATCCTGCGCCCGTCTTCAACCGTGAAGGGACCCAGGGCAGAAAACATTCTGCAGCCAAGAAGGCTCCCCAGCCATTTGCACCACTCAGGTGACCCTGAGGACACAGGTCAACCTCCAGGTGGCCTCAATGACTCTAAAAGAAGGCAAATGACCAGCTGTCTGCAAGGAGTATAAATCCTTCCCTTCCCCACCATTCAGTCAGAACCTGAAGAAGCTTCTTGGATGAGAAGTGAAACGTCTTCAAAGGAAAAACAAGAAAGTCCAGTTGCCTCCTGAAAAAGCACCCTTGGGACAGAAAATGGAAGAAAAACTCAGAAACACCCCCTCACTTACTTTCTGTCCTAATAAACAGTCTTGCCGTCGCCTTGATTGCTGCTTGCGAGTTATGTTTGACCAGACAAGTGAAGAGCGATGAATTCCATTTTTCGGTGGCCGTGAACTTCATGGAACTGTTGCGGGAGTAGGTCCCATCGGAATTCAAGGTTGTCGCAGTAGTCTTTCCTTTACCGCTGGTATTCTTGCAAAACAAGTCCACTTTGGCACCATCTGGATAGAAACTTTCTGCGTGGCAAGTGACCGTCACAGTGGCGTTCAGCTGGACGGGGGAAGGTGGGCTGGTCTCCAGACGAACTTTGGGAGGAACTGAGTAAAGAAAGCCAAAGAGATTGGTCAGGACAGCTTCAGACTCACGGGTCCTACCTTCAGAAGAGCCTAGAAACCAACTTCTTTCTGCTCTCCCATTGTGGCATTGGGGAAACAAGTAGGTTCTCTGAACCCAACCTGGTTATTATTTTTTTCAGATCCATTCTTCTGCCGAGGGGGCAGCATGTCAAGAGTGAAAGTTGGGCAGCTACGTGCCTCTTGTTTGCATCTTGCCCTTAGAGCAGTGATGGCGAACCTTTAGAGCAGTGGTTCTCAACCTGTGGGTCGGGACCCCATTTGGGGTCGAACGACAGAAGAGCCTAGAACAGGGGTCCCCAACCCCCAATCTGGACCAATACCAGGCCACGGCATGCCAACAACCGATCCACACGAACAAGCAAAGCACCATCCACAAGATGCAGGCAGCACACAAAACCACGCAACCTCCGGTCCGCGGAAAAACCTCTCTCCATGGAACCGGTCCCTTTTGGTGCCCAAAAGATTGGGGACCTCTGCCCTAGAAGATCAACTGATTCTGCTCTCCCGATTGCAGCGGTGGGAAACCAAGAAGGTTCTCTTTCACACCCTTGGTGTGAAAAATCCAGATCTTTGTTTTGCAGGAAGCCCAAGATCAGAACTTGACACTGTGAGCAAAAAATGAAATAAGGAGTCCCAACCAATTTTCGGAAAGTCTCTGTTCTCATTAGTTTATTTGGGGTGTGTTTGGACCCTGCAACTTTCATCAATATAAGTCAGTTGCCAAACGTCTGAATTTTGATCATGTGACCACGGGGATGCTGCAACGATTGTAAGTGTGAAAATCAGTTGTAAGTCACTTTTTCAGTGCTGTTGTAACGTGAAACAGTCACTAAATGAACTGTTATAAGTTGAGGACTACCTATACGTAGATTATAAACCTAATGATGAAAGCAGAGAGAGGATAATTTGAAAATCTACCACTTGTAACTTTGAACGGTCACTAAATCGGTGGTTGTAAGTCGGGGACTACTTGTATGGCAACACGTTTCCAAATGCTGATCACATCATCCTGGGATGCTGCAACCACTGTAAATATGTGCCAGTTGACAAACAGCCACACATGAATAATCAAAGTTACCAGTTTTATTATCTATCATCTATATCAAAGTTCTTGAAACTCAAGTCCTTTGGCCACCTAATGAGAAGGAAGGACTCACTGGAAAAGAGCCTAATGCTGGAAAAGATTGAGGGCAAGAGAAGAAGGGGACGACGGAGAAGGAGGTGAATGGATGGAGTCACTGAAGCAGTAGGCATGAGCTTAAATGGACTCCAGAAGGTGGTGGAGGACAGGAAGGCCTGGAGGAATGTTGTCCATGGGGTCATGATGGGTCGGACACGACTTCACAACTAACAACAGCAACATATCAAAATTCCCCAACCTTTTGGGGTTGGTGGACTGGAGCGGGGGAAGGGAGGGAAAAGAAAAGATGGTTTTGTTGGGGTGAACGCATATGCGAGCACATGTGTGCCCACAAACACCCGTTGCTCCCACAAGGAGGGCCACGAACATCCCTGACGCTCATGGTGATGCATGAATGGGGCCAGAAACACCCATGACACTCACATGAGTGGGGCACAAACGCCTGCAATGATCACACAAGTGGGGCCACAAATGCACACAACTCATGAACGGTGTCACAAATGCCTGCTATGCTTGTGGGAATGGGACCATGAACATCCTCAACGCTTGCACGAATAGGGCTGTGTGCACATGTGTGCTCCAGCCAGCCGCTTTATGTGGCCCATGAGCCACTGGTTGCTACTGCTAGTGGGCTGTGGCCTACAGTTTGGGGACCCCTGATTATATTACAAGAATCTCCCCAGATTGCTTGTCTTTCCCTGGGAATAATAATAATAATGATAAAGTTGGAAGAGACCTTGGAGGTCATCTAGTCCAACCCCCTGCTCAGGCAGGAAACTATACCATTTCGGACAAATGGCTGTCCAGTTTCTTCTTAAAAACTTCCAGTGTTGGTGCATTCACCGCTTCTGGAGGCAGATTGTTCCACTGGTTAATTGTTCTAACTGTCAGGAAGTTTCTCCTTAGTTCTAGGTTGCTTCTCTCTTTGGTTAGTTTCCACCCGTTGCTCCTTATCCTGCCTTCAGGCACTTTGGAAAATAGCTTGACTCCCTCTTCTTTGGGGCAGATATTGGAACACTGCTATCATGTCCCCCCTCGTCCTTCTCTTTGTTAAACTTGACATACCCAATTCCAGCAACTGTTCCTTATATATTTTAGCCTCCAGTCCCCTAACTATCTTTGTTGCTCTTCTCTGTACTCTTTCTAGAGTCTCAACATCTTTTTTACATCGTGGTGACAAAACTGGATGCAGTATTCCAAGTGTGGCCTTACAAGGCACTGTAAAGTGGTATTAATACTTCACGTGATCTTGATTCTATCCCTGTGTTAATGCAGCCTAGCACTGTGTTGACTTTTTTGGCAGCTGCAGCACACGGCTGGCTCATATTTAAATGCTTGTCCACTAGGACTTCGAGATCCCTCTCACTGTTACTACTATTGAGCAAGGTACCCCCTATACTATACCTGTACATTTGTTTTTTCTTGCCTCAATGTAGAACCTTATTTTTTTTCACCATTGAATTTCATTTTGTTAGATAGCGCCCAGTGTTCAAGTCTGTCCAGATCCTTCTGTATCCTAAGCCTGTCTTCTGGACTGTTGGCTATTCCTGCCAGCTTGATGTCGTCTGCAAATTTGATGAGTTCCCCATCTATCCCCTTGTCCAGATCGTTGATGAAGATGTTGAAGAGCACTGGGCCCAGAACAGAGCCCTGGGGCACCCCACTACACACTTCCCTCCATGTAGATGCGGTTCCATTGAGGACCACACGCGGAGTGACCAGATAAGGCTTCATAGATCCTGGGCTTAATTCAAACGTATGCTGCTTGCAACTGTGTAAGGATGCCAAGCTAGTTCCCAGCTTAGCCCCTCCTCCCATCCTGGCAGTTTCCCAACGGATTCACTCCAAAATGTCTCAGTTGACTAGAGTGGATCTCCCTCCCTTTCCGAGCGGCACCTACCTGTCACAAACACCACCACCTGTTTCTTTACAGTAGATTCTCTCTTTTCGAGACTTTTCTTGACCACCGAGCAGTAGTAGGTCCCATTATCATCGAAGCCAACGTTGCTCAGGCTGATGCTGAAGTCAGTTTTCGATCCTGGAACGAGCCTCGCCCCACGAGAAAACTTGTCACGCTCCCTGTAAATTAACTTTTGGCCGTTGCCCAAGTCTTTGTACCATATTGCGCTTGCTGGCAGGTCTATCTGAGTCAGAGTACAGTTGAGAACGAGGGTCTGGCCTGCTGTGATCCGCGTGAAGGTGAACTCAGGTATCCGAGGTTCCGTGCTCAGACCAGGCCCTCCAACAGCTGAAATGGAAAATAGCTTCTGTTTCTTCTGGAGATCCAAAATGGCCGTAGTTTGAGCCAGTCAAGGCGTGATGGGATTATTTGAACCCCACTTCTTGGCTTGCTTCCATGTTACTTTAAACCTAGGCTAGGGATAGGCAACCTTGGCTTTTTTATGACTCGTGGACTTCAACTCCCAGAATTCCTGAGCCAAGCCATGCTGCAGGGAAAGGGAGAGGTTTCCATGCTGAGCCACACTGGCTCAGGAATTCTGGGAGTTGAAGTCCATGAGTCATAAAAGAGCCCATGTTGCCTACCCCTGACTTAGGCCTTCTCTTCTGTACACCCAGCCGAAGTCTGACATCCGTGGTGGTGCAAAAGAGCCAGGGTGATGCAGTGGCTAGAAGGCAGTACTGCAGGCTAACGCGCTGCCCACTGCCAGGAGTTTGATTCTGACCAACTCAAGGTTGACTCAGCCTTCCATCCTCCTGAGATCGGTAAAATGAGGATCCAGATTGTCGGAGGGGCAATATGCTAACTCTGTAAACCGCTTAGAGAGTGCTGTAAAGCAATGTGAAGCGGTATATAAGTCTAAATCAGTGGTTCTCAACCTGTGGGTCGGGACTCCATTTGGGGTTGAACGACCATTTCACGGGGGTCGCCAAACAACGCAGTCCACCATTTTTTCCCCCTTTTCCTTAGCTGTGCTACTCCCGTTTATTCTATTGGCTTTTGAAAGCCAATAGAATAGACTCTCTTGAATAGAGTCTAATTCTATTGGCTTTCAAAAGCCAATAGGAATTGTCCAGGCTGTCTCTGCCCTGCTGAGCCCGCCAAAAGTCCCATTCTGCAAACGGTGCTGCACCAGTTGAGTAGTCCTCGACTTGCGACTGGTTGGGGTCATGGCATTAAAAAGATTGAGAACCACTGGTCTAAAGGCTATTGCAATATTTTATCCTTCCTTCCTTCCCTCCCTCCCTCCTTTTTCTTTCTTTTTTCTCCTTTTTCCTTCCTCTGAGCCTTGGTGATGCAGTGGTCAAAATGCAGAACTGCAGGCTAATTCTTTTGACTGCCATCAGTTCGATCCTGACCGGCTCAAGGTTGACTCAGCCACCCATCCTCAGGTCGATAAAATGAGGACCCAGATTGTCGGAGGGGCAATATGCTGACTCAGTAAACCGCTTAGAGAGGGCTGAAAAGCCCTATGAAGTGGTATATAAGTCTTAAGTGTTAGTGCTATCCTGACATAGCGATTATTCCTGGAATGGAATTGTTTACGCTGTGTTAATATTATGCATCTAACAACATGTGCGGTGGTCTCACTGCACTGGTGAGACCACACTTAGAATCCTGCGTCCAGTTTTGGTCGCCACGATGTAAAAAAGTTGTTGAGACTCTACAGAGAAGAGCAACAAAGATGATCAGGGGACTGGAGGCTAAAACATGAAGAACAAAACAGGAACTCAATCTGTCTAGTGTGGACTAGGACTAGGGTGACATGATGTCTGTCTCTATATAGAAGGACTAGGGGCAACATGATAGTGTTTCAAGTTTTGATGGGGTGCCCCAAAGAAGAGAGGGGTCCATCTATTTTCCAAAGCGCCTGAAGGCAGGACAAGAAGCAACGAATGGAAACTAATCAGGGAGAGAAGCAACCTAGAACTAAGGAGAAACTTCCTGACAGTTAGAACAATTAACCAGTGGAACTACCTGCCTCCAGAAGCGGTGAATGCTCCAACACTCCAACAAGTTTTTAGGAAGAGACAGGACAGCCATTTGTCCAAAATGGTATAGAGTTACCTGCTTGAGCAGGGGGTTGGACTTGATGACCTCCAAGGTCCCTTCCACCTTTATTATTATTATTATGTCACCCCTCATCCTTCTCTTCATTAAACTAGACATCCCCAATTCCAGCAACCGTTTCCTTATATGTTTTAGCCTCCAATCCCCTGATCATCTTTGTTGCTCTTCTCTGCCCTCTTTCTAGAGTCTCCACATCTTCTCGGAGATGAGATGAAGGCAATCACAAAGGCAGGTGGTGAAGAAGAAGATCATGCAGGGACATGTCTTTGGGGGGAGGTATAAGTTTGGGCAGCCTTTCAACAACATCTAGAGAACCTTTAATCTCCCTGGCTTCCAGCTGGAAATCTGAGCAATAATACTAACCTATTTTCTGAAAGGAACACATCCTCAGGTTTTGCACAAGCAGGAAGAACGGAAGCTGAGATGGACCCAGGATTGTCAAGGAAGCCATGCCGATGCCAGCAGGAGAGACATCTGGAGCTACTTCAGTCTCTTGCTCCTCCCCAAACATTTCCTCTTCAAGGCAGAACAAAAGGGGAACCGGCGTTTCCTGCTTCTTTGAGCCAATTGCCTTGCTTGGGATAGTTACTCTGTCAGAGGGTGACTAAGGAGAGATTCCGGAATTCTAAATTTATTAATATCCCCAAAGTAAAAGATGGAGATGATGCAAGAACACGCAAGAATAAACCAAGATGGAGACTTCAGCTGTGATATCTGATCTGTCTCACTGATGATGTTACCTAGTTGGGTCATGAAATGTCTGCACGAAAACTCAAGAGAGCTCCCTAAGGTCCCCACAGTTCTTCTCCTCCTCCTCCCACAATCCCTCCGTTTTCTAGCACTGATGATGTTACCTAGTTGGGTCATGAAATGTCTGCAAGAAATCAACCAGGCTCAGAGAACCCCATGGAACTCATAGTCCTCCTCTTCCTCCTCCCTCCTCTTCCTCCTCCTCACCCACTCTGCATTGATGATGTTACCTAGTTGGGTCATGAAATGTCTGCAAGAAAACCACTAAGTTCCAAGGAATCCACACTCTTCTTCCTTCTCCTCCCACAACCCCTCCCCCTTCTAGTACTGATGATGTTACCTAGTTGGGCAATGAAATGTCTTCTTGAAAACCACCAAGTTCAGAGAGCACCAAGGACCGCATAGTCCTTTCCTCCTCCTCCTCCTCCTCCCCCCCTCCTCCTCCTCTTCCACATCTCTTCTAGGACTGACAATGTTATATAGTTTGGACATGAAACATTTCCAAGAAAACTACCAAGCTCAGAAAGCACCAAGGATCCCACAGTCCTTTCCTCCTCCTCCTCCTCCCGCAACCCCTGCCCCTTCTAGTACTGATGATGTTACCTAGTTGGGCAATGAAATGTCTTCTTGAAAACCACCAAGCTCAGAGAGCACCAAGGAGCCCACAGTCCTTTCCTCCTCCTCCTCCTCCCGCAACCCCTGCCCCTTCTAGTACTGATGATGTTACCTAGTTGGGCAATGAAATGTCTTCTTGAAAACCACCAAGCTCAGAGAGCACCAAGGAGCCCACAGTCCTTTCCTCCTCCTCCTCCTCCTCTCTGCAAACCTTCCTTCCTTCTAGCACTGATAATGTTACCTAATCTGGTCATGAAACATCTGCAACAAAGCTACCAAGCTCAGAGAGCACCAAGGACCTCACTGTGATTTCTGGGTTGACTTCAGCTCTATCACTTTAAATCTTTCCTTCTGCAGCAGGAGTGAGATAGGAATTCTCCCTTCATCTTCCAAACTGGGATGGAGAGTCTTCTTCATACCGGTAGTTCTCGACTTAGGATGAGAGTTGAGATCAGAGTTTTCGTTGCTTTTGTGATGCTTTTGTTAAGCCAGATGTGCCTGATTCTACGGGCGTTTTTTTTTTCAACACGGTCGTTAAGGGAATAACTGTGGCCATTAAACAAATCACAAAGCTGTTAAGCAAATGCAGCCTCTCCCACTGACTTGGCTTGCAAATGACGATCGCAAATGCACGGCTTGGCAAAGCAAATTTTGCCAAGCAAATTTTGGTCACACGACTACATAATTTTGAGGATGCTGTGATGGTCCTAACGTCAAAGACTGGTGGAAGCCCACCTTTTTCAGTGTTGTTGCCACATTGAAGGAATGGTTGTAAGTTCAGGACTGCCTACACCAGAGGTCCCCAACCTTTTGGGCACCAGGGACCGGTTCCGTGGAGACAGGTTTTCCCACGGACCGCAGGGTGCGTGGTTTTGTGTGCTGCCTGCATCCCACAGATGGGGCTTTGCTTGTTTGTGCGGACCGGTTGCTGGCATGCCGCGGATCGGTACTGGTCCGTGGACCGGGGGTTGGGAGCCCCTGGTCCTGGCTTGTGGGCAGTTTTCTGAACGTTTCGTTACCAGGTTAGGTATAAGGGAAGTTAGCCCAGAGAAGGAAATATTAAAAGGGCAGAAAAATATATTTTTCCTCCAAAGGATTTTTTTTTTAAAACCAAACCTGGCCCCAAATCTATCTCTCTGCCCCAAGCAAGAGCTAGCCCCATACAAATGCAGATGTAAAACCATCAGAAAGTTGAAGCCAGAGCAATCAAGACAACAAGAAGATCTGCATACCCCACCCAAACTCTAGGAGTCATTAGCCCCATTACCTGGGAAGCAGGATATGATAATGGGATTCAACCACAGATATCAAGGCCGAGAAAAACACTCAGAGATCGCTCGCTCTTAGTGGATTGAATGGTGTTTTCAAATGTTCCTCCAGCTCGCTTCAGTACAGAACGCCGTACATATGTGAATACGCATCGCTTATCTTCATGCGCATTGCGTAGTAGCCTCTATCCTTTTTATATTTCTTTTTGTGTCTTAAATTTCACTTGTAATTCAATCATTAAATATTACTGTTTTTCTTTTCGGGCATTTCAATTTCTTGCCACTGAATTTTGTTTTCAGCGGTCATTACATTTAAGTGACTTGAATAAATAAGATAAGAATGCAATACATGTATCAACAAGTTTGGGAATAAAGTGATGGGTGGCACCAAAAATTTTTTCACACAATTGAGATATGGGGAAAAGACTGGAAATAAATTATTTGCATCGCTATGTCCTGATGACAATTTGAAAGAAAACAAAACAAGGGTTTGGATGAATTGAAGAATTATTTCCTATGTTGTGATTGAGAGGTTATGTTGGGGGAGCGATGACAACTTCCTCATTGGCTCAAGGGGGCGATTCGTTCAAAAAGGTTAAGAACCACTGGACTAATGTTATGCCTTTGTCTGAGCCTGAATCCGAGGGGGACATGGAGTTGGAGAGGACTTGAGGGGGGGGGGTGTCTTTGGCTTCGGAGGACTGTGGGGAGGAGCAGGCTGAGGCAGGCCAGGACCCTTCAGGTTTGGAACAGGGGAGGCAGAGTTCAGGGGAGGAGCAAGCCCCTCCCCCATCCTAGAGCAAGGAGAGCAGAGGAGAGAACGACGGAGGGAGGCAGGCTCAATTGTTGGGAGGAGAGCGTCCCACCCCACTCCACAAGGCACACCTGGGGATTAAGATTTAAGGAGCTGCTGTGGGGAGGGGCATTTGCCGGGAACAAACGTATCTTCGGACAGTTGTGAATTGTGCTCTTGTCTTTGTTTAACCTGGATACCTTGAATAGCTGACCGGCTGGTTTCCTGCTTTATGATCACAGACTGCATTTATGAGTCTCTCCTTGCAGACTGCAGGCAAGCTGAGATTTCAAAGGACTCATTACGTTTCTGTTTTGCTTTCTTGTTATCTGTCTGGCCTTGAGGACATTGTATACTTCTCCAGCTGTATTGAAATTGCCTTTAGCCCAGTGGTTCTCAACCTTTGAGTCGGGACCCCATTTGGAGTCGAACGACCATTTCACGGGGGTCGCCAAACAACGCAGTCCGCCATTTTTTCTTCCCTTTTCCTTAGCTGTGCTACTCCCTTTTATTCTGTTGGCTTTTGAAAGCCAATAGAATAGACTCTCTTGAATAGAGTCTAATTCTATTGGCTTTCAAAAGCCAATAGGAATTGCCCAGGCTGTCTCTGCCCTGATGAGCCCGCCAAAAGTCCCATTCTGCAAATGGTGCTGCACCAGTTGAGTAGTCCTCGACTTACGACCGGTTGAGTAGTCCTCGACTTACGACCGGTTGGGGGTCGCGGCATTAAAAAGGTTGAGAACTACTGCTTTAGCCAGAGGTAGCTGAAAGGAGTGTGTGTGTGTGTGTGTGTGTGCTTTGGTTGAAGGCTTGCCAGCATATGTGGGAGCTTTTGGGGAGCATTGGCAGTTATTAAAGGACTGTTTCTCTTGCCAGCCGACTGCATTGCCTCCGTGCGGGGCCCTAGGTCATCACACTGGTAATGACACATTTGGAGATCTACCCACAAGCTCGGAGAACGAACCTTCACCCTCACCATTCTGATAGTCTAGGGGTGTCCAACCTTGGCCACTTTAAGATCTGTGGACTTCAACTCCCAGAATTCCCCAGCCTGCTCTTGCATCTTTAGATCAGAGGTGTCCCACCTTGGCCACTTTAACACTTGTGGACTTCAACTCCCAGAATTCTTCAGCCCGCCCAGAATTTGGGGAATTGAAGTCCACACATGCTAGGCAGCAATGGTTCCTTCCAGTGACTTCACTGCAGCTCTGCAAATTGAATTATAGAATCCTAGAGCTGGAAGGGACCTGGGAGGTCATCTTGTCCAACCCCTCGCCCAAGGCGGGAGACCTTATACCACCCTGGCCAAATGGAAGCCCAATCTTTTCTTGAACCTAACCCAACATTTGCTGACTGGGGAATTCTGGGAGTTGAAATCCACCCATCTTAGACTTGCCAAGGTTAAGAAACATTGGGCTTCAGAATTCTGGGAGTTGAAGTCCACAGGTCCCCCTTCCATTGCAATATAAAGGGTCCCTGCAGGAGGCGCTGTAGAACAGGTGCAGATTTGAAGCAGACGGTTCCCAGAACAAAGTGAACTTGTTTATATGGACCATGTAAGACATTGGTGGTTTGGCTGGGAAAATTATTGTTTAAGTCTATGAATCGGTGTTGGACCCTCAGAGTTAGTTTGACAATACCATGCAGCGTATTCAATAAATAGTAAGATTTTCGGAGATG